CACAACTTCGACCAAAACTTTCTTATATATTTAATAAAGCGTGATTAATTGTTAAAATAAAAGCGCAACTCCCTTTTGTTAAAATAAGTGAGGTGTGCCATGTCAAACAAAATTTATAATTCATGGCCCTATTAAGATTAGATTAAGAACTAACACTTATAGAAAAGGTTTGAGGTGTGCCATAAATAAATTAAATCATCCATGGCCCTCACAAATGTTGCTTTTAAAAATTGAATAATCATAGTTTGCTTTATGCTCGATTTAGACTAGTATTGTGATTATGTATACGTTCGCGTAACATAATTCAAATTTAATTCTAAAAAATAATTCGAGGATGCGTTCGCGCAACTTCAACCAAATTTTTCTTAATAAAATAAACAAAGCATTATTAATTATGGACACGTTCGCGTGACATGATTTTTTCCGCGCCAAAGGAAATGAGTATACGTACGCGTAACTCGATTCTTTAATTAAGAATAATTCAAGTGATTTAAAAGCGGTAAAAATATAAATGCACATAGGTCCTAAAAATGAGTAGTTAAACAATTTAAGCCATGTATAAATCGCTAAGCGACCGTGCTAGAACCACGGAACCCGGGAATGCCTAGCACCTTCTCCCGGGTTAACAGAATTCCTTATCTAGAATTTCTGGTTTGCAGATTTTTTTTTAAAATATAAACTTCCTCGATTTGGGATTTAAAATAAACCGGTGACTTGGGACACCAATTAAATTATTCCAAGTGGCGACTCTGATTAATTAAATAATCTCATTTCGAATAATGTCACTTTAATTGGAAAAACTCCCATATCACCCTTTCAGGGTGGAAAAAAGGAGGTGTGACACCCATAATCCAACACTTTGAGCAATGGAGTTTGCTGCTTTGACATTGAATTTGGCCATAGTCTAAAGCTTCATTCCGTTGGCATCGTTACCTGTCACGCCGATGTGAACTTCGAGTCACATGTACATTTATCTATCATGACGAGTTAAAGCCTCGTGTCATTGACACTGGTACTTGCTGCTAAATCACAACTTTGTGTCATTGGCACCAATCAATCATGTGGGATCAACTGCTTCGTATCACTGGCATCGTATCTATCAGTCAAACTGAAGCGTCATGCTATTGAAACATCGTGCTACTGGTACCATATTCACAGAAACTTCGTGTTGTTGGCATCGAGGATTTTCACAATAGTTTTCTTTTGCAGGCTTTTGCGAGAGTACGGCGGTCTTTGATATCCCTAAGGAGATGCAATATCGCTAGCGAACAACTCGTCTATCTGTGGCGAGAGAGACAAATGAAGTGTCCTTTCACCCTCGGCAATAAAATCCCTGCTCTTGGAGGCTTGGAGAGACCATATTTCACCAGTGGCGAGTGTGACATGTACCACATTGCATCGTTGCAGGCCGGCGAGGAAGACAACTGGAGTAGGCCTTTCCAACTTCGGCGAGCAAGCACTTGGTGTGTTTCTGCTACTTTGACTTCATAGCATTTCATGCTTGCATTGAAAAAAATCGTATCTCGACCTAGGAGTGTCCAAACTGCAATCCGCTTGGTTCTGCAGAATCAAAACTTGCACCACAGTGACATATCCAAAATTTAGGGCCAAATTCCCTTAGGACAAGTCGGAATGAACTTTTGAAGGCGATGCACAAGTCTGTCATTTCGGCTTCACAGCACTGCATGCTGTCATTGGAACGCACATATCTCAAGCTAGGAACGTCCAAATTGCTAGCCGTCTGAGCCACTGGAAAAAAGACTCAGAGATAAGGAAATCCCCAAAACATCATGGAAGGATTCCTAGCAGATTAGCCGAAGTAATATTTTGAAATTCACCCATCTGTCTGCCGAACTCGCTATTCAGCTTTGTGTGCACTCGTGGAAAAATTCATATCTCGATCTACAAGTGTCGGAATCGCAAGCCATCTGTGCCATTGGAGAGAACACCACAATTTCTGCAACACTTGAAGATATCATGGACGAACTCCTTTCGGATTGCCCGCAACAGTAGTTTGAAAATGCTCCTAACGTCTGCTGCACTTGCGATCCAGCTTTGCGCACTTTTGTAGAAAACTTCATATCTCAAGATATGGGTGTCGGAATCCCAAGACGTCTGCAACCTTGGAAAGATAAGTTCGAGACGTACAACACTTGAAAATATCGCGGCAGAAATCCTTTTAGATTGGTCGCGACATTACTTTGAAGTCGCTCCTGATGTCTGCCTTGCGTTTGTTTCGGCTTTGCGCACTCCTGTTGAAAAATTCATATCTCGAGCTAGGAGACTCCAAATTGCTATCCGTTTGCGCCGTCAGGAAGTACACTCATAGAGCTACAATAAATATGAGTTTCATGGCAGAACTCCTTCCGAGCTAGAAATAGAAAATTCTCAAAGTCCACCTAGCTGCAGTAACTTTCAGATTCGTGTAGTTCCGGCGAAAAAATTCATATCTTGAGCTAGGGGCCTCCAAATTGCAAACGGTTTGTGTTATTACAAACTAGACATCAAAATCTACAATATATTAAATGTTAGGAGCAGAGCATCTTCAAGATGAACTGCAGTAGTTTTCCAAAGTTGATCCTGTCGTCTGTCGAGCTTGCTTTCCAGCTCTATGCTCTATGAGTTATCCTACAAATGTTTTTTTTTTCTTCTTGAAATTGACTCTACAGTCTTGCATGTAGTAGCTTTGTCTATATGCGTCATAAATCTTATCTCTTCATTTATTTCTTTTGCAGACTCGAAAAGAAGCTCAAAGAGTCTGGATAACAGACCGAGGTGTCATACAAGATGCGGAGCCACTCCTTCACCAACTATTGCACTTGATTTCTTGATAGTCTTGAAGTTCATCAATGGCGGCTCCCATGGTGATTAGGACCTTCAACCAACAATTGAGGATGGCATCAAATGTGGAGACGTCATATAGACTTGGAAAAGTATTTAGACGCGTCAGCAACAAAGCCTAGTTTACGATCATCTTCATGATTTAGGCTTTTGTATAGAAAAATATCTAGTTCCTGTAGTCTCTACATTTTTGGATGTATCAACTTTTGTACTATTGAAGCAATAAAACATCTTTTATACTTCAACACAAATCGTCTCCTTTTCCTCATAGATATGTGCCTTTACACTTGGAAGAATTAATGTAATGATCCGATGATGCCAAACTTTTTATTTTTTTAAAACTCATCCGACTGAACTTAGAATGAAACTCTAAGCTGCCTACGTACCTTGGTGAAGAGGATCAAGTCATAACGTAGTTCATAGGGATGAGGTCTTTTTTTTTTAATTTTTTTTTTTGGTCTTGACTTTTGCCTAGGTCGCGTCTTTCGAGGTTTTCAACCTAGCAGACTCTTTTTTTTTGGCCGTACACAGTTTAGACTCATGCGGGCCAGGAGTGTAGCAACGTGAAGTTTAAGCTCATGCATCAAGGAGCGTCATGACTTGCGGTTTAGGCTCGTACATCGAGGAGCGTAGGTGACTTTCATGGGAAGTACTGCTTCAGAAATTTTCCGTTAATCGGACCAACTCTGAGACCATCCTGATCGATAATTTTGTATGCGCCACTTGAATAGGTTTCTTTCACAATATATGGCCCATCCTATTTTGAGGTAAACTTGTTGCCTATGCGTTTGTTGAGGATTATGGGTCGTCGAACAGCTAGGACTAAGTCTCCCACTTGGAATGATCGTGGACGCACTTTCTTGTTGAAGGCTCTAGCTAGTCGAGCTTGATAGCATTCCAATTTTTGTTGCGCTTCCAACCTTTTCTCATCCAGTGCCTCTAACTCTGCTAGGCGAAGTTGAGCATTCCCTTCGGACGTGAGTCCTTCTTGGATTGCTATCCGCAATGATGGAATTTGTTGCTCCAACGGCATGACTGCTTCTACGCCATATACCAAAGAGTAAGGAGTTGCTTGTGTAGCAGTTCTGAAGGTTGTCCGGTATGCCCACAAAGCTTCACCAATTCTCTCATGCCAGTCTCTCTTGTTCTTTTCAACAACTATCTTCAAAAGGTTACCAAGCGTCTTGTTAAAAGCTTCAGCAAGACCATTGGCGGGTGCATTATACATTGAAGACTTATGTTGCTTGAAGCCGAACTTCTCGCACAGACTCTTCATGAGCTTGTTGTCAAATGGCGTTCCATTATCGGTGATTATATATCTTGGTATGCCGTACCTAAAAATTATATATGACTTGATAAAATCGACAACAGTCTCCTTTTTCACCTCCTTGAGTGGAGCAGCTTCTACCCATCTAGAGAAGTAGTCTGTAGCGGCCAATATGTAAATATGTCCCTTTGATGACTTTGGAAGCGGTTCGACAACGTCAAGTCCCCATGCATCAAAAGGCCATGAAGCTATAGTTGGATGAAGAGGCTCTGGAGGTTGGTGGGTGTAGTTAGCATGAAATTGAAACGCTTGGAATCTTTTGGCATGATCCATGCAATTCTTCACCATTGTCGTCCAGTAGTAGCCCATACTCTTGATGCGGAAATGGAGCTTTGGACCCGATTGGTGTGCTCCACTCGAGCCAGAATGTGCTTCCTCCATCGCTTGGCGGGCTTATTCTTTGTCAAGACATCGCAAGAATAGTCCTTCAAAGGAGCGGCGAAATAATGTCCCCTTGTAGAAGATGAATCATGGTGCCCTTCGCTTGATGTTTGTTCTTTGTCACGGATCTTCGGGTAACTTTCCATGTTCAAGGTGTTCTATCAATGGTTTTCTCCAATATTCTTCTTCAATCACTCGAACAGACGTATGATGGCTTTCGTTGATTTGAAGATCCAGAAGTTTAGGAATAACCCATCGATGACACATATATACCTTTGTTGACTCATTCTCTCCAAGTGCCATCGTCGTGGCCAAGTTAGCCAAAGCATCAGCCTTGCGATTTTCTTCTCTTGGGACGTGGTTTAAGAACACTTTATCAAATTTTCCAAGTAAACCAGAAGCGTATTGATGGTATGGCAATAGATCTTCCTTCTTTACCTCGTAACTCCCCAAAAGTTGGTTGTTGATTAGCTTAGAGTCGCCGTAGATCTCCAACTGTAGAATCTTCATTTCTAATGTCATTTCGAGACCGACGATCAAATCTTAGTACTCTGCGGCATTGTTAGAGCATGTTTCACCTAAAACAAACGAGACTGGCAAGACTTGTCTTTTTGGAGAGATCAACAGAACACCTGCCCCCGCACCGTTACGACGTGCAGATCCATCGAAGGACATTGTCCATAGTGGAAACTCTTCGATGAACAAAACGTCTTCATCTGGAAACTCATCACAAAGCTTCCATTCCGCCGGAAGAGGGTGATCAGCCAGAAAATTGGCTAGTGCTTGTCCTTTCACAGCTTTTTGAGGTGTGTATGTGACCTCATATTGGTTAAACAATATGGACCATTTTGCTAGGCGTCCAGAAAGAACAGGTCGAGTCATCACGAACTTCACCGGATCTGCTCGAGAGATGAGTTTGATGGTGTATGCTTCAAAATAATGCCTTAGATTCTTTATCGCATAAAGTAACGCTAAGCATATTTTCTCAACAGGCGTATAGTTCATCTCAGCTCCTATCAGAGTTCGGCTAAGGTAGTACAAGGCTTGTTCCTTTCCTTCCTCATTCTTTTGAGCAAGCAGTGCTCCAAGTGAACGTTCCTGTGCCGCGATGTAGAGTATCAATGGGTTCCCAAGCATTGGCGCCCCTAACACAGGTGGATTCAGCAAGAATTTTTTGATGCTTTCAAAAGCATTTTGACATGACTGATCCCAATGAAAAAGGATATCCTTCCTCAATAGATGATTGAAGGGTTGACACCGTCCGGCTAGATTAGAGATGAACCTCCGGATGAATTCTAAGTTTCCTTGGAGACTTCAAAGCTCTCTCAAGTTCTTTGGCTTGGGCATCAATCTTTGCAGGATCAACTTCAATTCCACGATGACGCACAATTAAGCCAAGAAATTTTCCTGAGGTAACTCCAAATGCACACTTGAGTGGATTCATCTTCAGGTCAAATTTTCTTAACCTTTCAAAAACAATTCGAAGGTCTTCAAGGTGATAACGCCTATTCTTCGTCTTTACCACCAAGTCATCGATGTAGCATTCAACCCTCTTATGAAGCATGTCATCAAAGATGTTTTGCATCGCGCATTGGTAGGTGGCACCGGCATTCTTCAGACCGAAGGGCATCACTTTGTAGCAATATATCCCTTTTGGAGTTCGGAAAGCAGTACACTCTTCATCCTTTGGAAACATTCTGATTTGATTGTATCCGGAGGACCCATCCATGAATGACATAGCTTCATGCCCTGTTGTAGCATCAACCATGAGTTCAATAATTGGCAGCGGAAAGTCATCTTTCGGACATGCCTTGTTTAGGCCTCGAAAGTCAACACAAACACGTATTTGACCATTCTTCTTCTTGACAGGTACAATATTCGATATCCATGATGGGTACTTCACCTCTCGAATAAATCCCGCCTCGATAAGCTTGTTGACTTCGACTTCAATTTGTGGTACTAGCTCAGGTCGGAACATGCGTTGTGACTGCTTCACAGGGCGTGTTCCACTTTTGATCCCCAAATGATGAACGGCTACCTTAGGACTAAGACCATGCATTTCTTTATACGACCAAGCGAAGACATCTTTGTACTCAGTCAAGAACTTGGAGTATTCCTCCTCCTCCTGAGGCGTAAGAAGTGCACTAATGAAGGTGGGGCGTGGATCTTCCGAGTGCCTAAATTGAGTTCCTTGAGCTCATCCACAGTCGATTGTCCGCCATCTTCTAGTTGAGGGGGAGCCTCGTGTACTTCATCATCAACGTCAAGACATGGGCTATCTTCCACAGTTATGTGATAGGATGTTTCCATAAAGTCTGACTTTTCTGTTTGACTTCCTTGGATAGTCTACACGGCTTCTTTCTCTTTCTCTGCTTCTTTACGAGGCTGGCGAGTGTAAACAATGGTTCTCCATTGCACCTTCAGCGGACCATCTGTGGATATTGACAAAATAGACTTCCTCTTCATACGTGATGGGAAAGCACTATAGATTTCTTTGTCACCAACAACTTCAAAATGATCCCGCTCCTCATGGACTTGCTCCTTATGTTTTGACAGTATCTTTCTACATAGCGACTTCCTTGTGGTCCCTAGGCGACAAAAGATAGAGGTCTTTGAGGTAGTGGAAACTTCTTTTAGATGTTTGGAAGATACACGTTCACCTTTGTGACTTAGCCTTTCAAACACCGAGACCGAAGGGGTTGAGCCTCCAATGCGATCAAATACTAAAGCCCGTTGTTTTATTTTCTTGCCCTTAACTTCCTTCATCTCCTCCACCGAGGTGTATTGTGATGAAGTTATCTCTTTGCTTCTCTTTGATGAAATTCGAAGAGGCTCTGCCAAACTGAACCCCAACCCACACTTTGGAGTGGCGACGTAGTGCCCTTGTTTTCTCAACTTCATTTGGAACTCATTGAGCCCATGTATCTTTTCACTAGTGACTTCGTCTTTGAGATCTCCTAGTTGTGATGGATTGGAGAAGTCATAACCAGACTTTTCAAGCAGTATGAAGGCCTTAGGATCATAGTGCCCTTTTATTTTATCAGCTTGGAGATTGCCTTTAGCAGACTCACAAGTCACGGATGGTGATAACAACACGATAGGGGATTCAAGAATTACTAAAGAAAATCAAGAAACGTGCGAAAGCTAAAGAAAATAAAGAAACAAAAAAAACGACGGAAAATTAAAGATAGATTGAATTCAAGAAAGAGTTTCTTGAATTCAAGAAGTCTATTCTTGAAGTTGAATCCTAACAACAACAATTAGCTAACAAAGAACTAATCGCCTTTGGTAGAGAATTAAAAACAAGAGATAGATTGTGAAACCCGACCCTTTAGAATAACAAGAACAACAATGAGCCTAAACTTATCACCTTTCTTGAATACCTAGAAGTGATCTAAGATTTCGAAAGAGTTTAATCTTACCACCTTAAGTTGAGTCTTGAAGGTT